ATTTATGACGACACATCTGTTGCGTTTAGTGTCTCGATAATGACTCAATGTCTTTAAAGCCGAAATTTTCAAGAAGATCCGCGCAGCCGTTATTATGTGAGAATTTTTTTAATTTGGTGAAAAACCTCATGTATTCTCTATGGGGCTCTGAGGTGCGCCCCCTCTTAAACCCGGCACTCTGCAAGGCCGCTTCCCCGCAAGCGCCTTAGACATGTTTGGCACATGTGACCCCTTGTCCACCAACGAGAACTTGGCAGTGGAAGGAGGCGATGCTATGGCTCAGCCATTTAGTAACTCTAACTTGCCCAACTACAAACGCTGCCGAAGCACTAGAATATGGTTTCAGGACGTCCCCAAATTAGTTCTTCTCTACAAAGTCTAATAAATTCTGAGAAAAACAAAGGTAAGCCAAATCACAAGACCAGACGCACTGCGATGTCAGGCTCTGGTACACACACGGCTTGTTTTAATTCTCACGACTATGTATTTCGAGATTTTTTATTCAAACATTTTTTGGTGTTTCGATGGTAATAACAATTAGGATCCATGTATTCTATTGCTTATTCAAAAAAGGCTGGGCCTCAGACAGCTCACTGCTTCTAAATACTACAAGTGTAGGGTCAACATCATCACTTACACCTGAGTAAAACAAAGAGGCTGCCAAAAGCCGGATTTTGAGTCTGAAATAAACTGTCTCGATCGTTTAGCCCTCGCAGCTTGCATTTTTGTAAAAATCTAGGCACGCATAGATGTCCTGCCAGTGGCCCTATAATAACTGAGGGATTACGACACGGGGACACAAAGATTAGGAGAAAGTGATGCGCAACCAGCGACAAACAAAATGGCCTCTTCATCCCGGGCACATAACTGCAATCGAAGGGCTGTCTCACGATAAGAACTCAAGTCCCCCTGGCGCGCCAAAGAAAAGGGGCTCGCAGCTTTTGATTTTAAAACCAAGAACTAATGGAACTTCTAAGGAAACTAGATTAAACTTTAAAGCACATAAAAGGTTTAAACAAGGAGCTCTAGACACGTGGCATTTTCAAAGGAAAGGTTATAATCCTTGTTATAAGTGCAAAAAACGTATGAGGCCGTTGAAATTATAATATATTTTCCCGTCTCGATTACTTGGCTTTCTACAATCATACGACTCGTTCCAGCAAGCCTTCAGACGTCATCACATTACTGGGAGATGATCAGATCCGAAATGATTTTACTGCAGAAACCGTTAGTGCCCCTTTCGGGCGAAATCTGGCGGGATCTGTATGCAAAGAAACGTTGTCATGGGGAGAGTGGTAGCATTGCCAGGATTTTACCCTTCCCAGCGCCGTTGCCCTTGTTCCTTCATTAGCATTGAAAAACTTGGAGGACAACGCTGTTGCCTGCGCTGTTGCCATTGGGCTACTGCTCCCTCTTTTTCGACTCCATCTCGAGCTCTCACCGGCACCGCCACTTCGGGCTTCTCGGACGTTCTCCAGCACCTGTGCACGGCGCTCACTCACTTCCTTTTCCTGTCCCCTCTCAGACATGACAAGGCCATGGAAGATTCGCTTTCCGGGAATGGCACGAGTGGCGCACCGAGTAGAGCAGACGCAGGGCCGCAGCAGCAAGAGAGAACAGCAAAGGGTGAAGGACGCCGACTACAGTCGAACCCGGATACATTGATGTCAAAGGGGATCGTAAAATAGTTTGATATATCAATAATTTGATATACAAAAATATGTTAACTCAAGCTCCAGTTGGAGTTTCCGCGAATCTTTGCTAATATCGAAGGCTGCGACAAACAAAGACCTTACCAAATAGAGTCTGTAAATACAGCAGAGCTTAGTTGGTGAAGGTCACAAAAACCTCCGTGTTTACGCGACCTACGCGACAGTGTTTGCGATGGCTTACGCGGGCCACGACCTCCACACAGCTCCCGCAACAAAACACAAAAATAATTAAAAAAAAAAAAAAGCGAGCTGTGAAAAAAAAAAAAAAAACTCTCCATACACTAACTCATGTTTACAAACAAACCGGAGCGCCCCTAGCGGACGCCACAGGCGCCGCGCATGCGCAATGAAGTGTGGGCAATAAGTATCGCTGTCACCCATAAACAAACCATTGAAATGCAATGTCGGCGATGGCGTGAGTCCCCCTGCCCTTTTTCGCGTTCGAATTGTTGATTCCATGTCTTCCTGGCAATGTCTGACTACTTCAGGGGCCTCAGCGAAATTACCGAGGATCGTTACACCACAAAAGTTCGCGTGAATAATGTGACATGCGACGATTCATTCCGCGTGGATGCTGCAGAATGGACGCTAAAGCCCGATTCGCAAGATGAGATTTCGCTAGCAAATTTCAGTCGCGACGTCACTCAAGCTGCAAAAGCGTGAACCGTAGCTGAAATGGTCTACGTCGATACGGAAAATCGCAAGCAGAATCGGACACACCAAGTGAATCAGGCATAACAAGTCGGTGATGGCCACTGGTAACAATGATCAACATTTCCTTGTACTATCTACTGCTTACATCGAGCCTGCTTACCAACCTTAAAGGGATAATTCTACGAAATTTGAAATATTCCCGTCGTGTTAAAAATAGGTTGAATATGATCCACAATATCCATAAATGACAATCGCACGTTTGTATTTTGAGCCTGGTGACTGTATTTTTCGTTATAAACGGACCACTCTGGCAAGTGCTCAGAGAAGGCCCAGGGGAGACCACGTTACATCCAACGCAATCGTGACATAGGTCGTCTCAGGACGAGCAAAGCTACGGCAAGGCTGACGTCGAGAGGATGGCCTAGTCGTTCCAGCCACCGAAGCGGCTGCTTTTGTACGAATTTTGAGTGACGGGTTAATCTTCTATAATCTTATAGGGGGACAATAGCGACTTCTGCGACACACAAAAGGCATTCTCGGGAAGAGGGGAGTTCCTCCTTCCCCTCTTCTCTCGTTGTGGCCAGAGGTGAGACAACCTCCGTCACTAGCCGTCAAGGTTCCTAGACGGGCATTACAAGCGAGGCGTTAGCGACATCCACCAGGTGCTCTTTGCTAATCATTTTATTTGTTTTAAAATTCCTTTTCGTGACTTTTTTTAACAAGATATTGGTATGTTTGATGTAATGCTGCTCCTTTGAGCACATATAGACCAAAAAATGAGCGCCGAAATTTCGTTGTAGTATCACTTTAAAACTTAAGTCTTTTGAGGCCTGCACTTACTTCTTTGATGTCGGATAAGTGTTTGGTTGTTGCCGTTGCTCATAGATGGTGGCAACTTTTCGAGCATTTCCACTCTGGCTTGGCGACTTGCGGCCGGCCATTACTTCATACCCACCATAGTACAGCTTTGCTGGTCTTCTTTCTTCACCAAAGTGGAAAGGCTAAAAATGTTTTTTTTTTACAGCTGCCTTTTTTTTTTTTTTTACAACTGCTCTTTTGCTGCGTATCCCCGTGCGGATATGCTGCATCCCCGTGCGCGTGTGCTGGCTTGGCGGTCTGCCGGCCAGCCCCGCAACACGAGCTATGTGCTCACCGCTGGCGCAATCCGACTGCGGGAGAAGATAGGCCCTGCTTTATTCGCTATATCGAGTGTCCCCACCATGGGAGTTCGATACAAACGATAGTTCGAAATACCCAGGTGCGATAAAACCGGGCTAGACTGTATTGCGCATGAGAGGCAGCGCGTAGGCACCTTTTGCACATCTCCCAAAGCACATCTCCGATAAGTGTTCTGCTACTATCAAAGCTCCTAAAACAGATATGCCGAGGTACACAATTTAACGACGCAACGTCGCAAAATACTCTCTGCGGTCGTTTGCAACTTTTAACGCCGACTATGTTAGATGGCTGGCATCTAACTGTGTTTGATTAAGTGGGACGGAAGTCGAAGGCCGACTGCCGATTGAACGCCGACGCGGCGCCCGGCTCTTCCCTGGTGCCAGCTGAACCCAATCTTCGAGTGCCTCCGTGTTGCTCACAGATGGCGTGCTCAGACGCACACCAGCGCTCTCCTACGCGAAACGAGCGCAATTTGGGATTCCCCAGAGAAAGAGCGCGAGAGAAAGCGGCAGAAAAGAAGAAAAAAGAAAGCGGACGCTCGCTTTGCCGCAACGGGTTGAGGTACAGCTCGAGTGTCCGATTATTTCTTGCTGCGAGCTGGTGCGGTGGCTCTGCTCGGCGCTCCCGCTTCCCAACTGTTGCCTTTTCCACACGCTCCATCTTTTGCGTCTCACAACAAGCTCCGAGAAAATTGCATTTACGACGAAACTGCAGAAGGTGGCACCCACTAATAAGACGTCCATGGAGCGCTTGCGCTCTTGCTTCGTACGACACAGGACTGCTTCGTGCCATTCAGTCTCCAGATGTGCACATGGTTTCTCCACACTGACACATCACATTCTGCGTTAGCACTGTTTTTGCCACGCTGGTATGGCAAAGGGACGATTTTTTGTTTGTCTTCTTTAAGACAAAGACGGGAAACCACAGATTAAGAGAGACCTTTGTGGCACTCATCTATGTCTCCTTGCGACAGTGGGATCCAACGCAACACAGGGGCGGCATTATTCTAAGGGGTGTCCACACAGGGGAGCAACCCCCCGTGCAAAACACGTGCATCACGTGGCAACAACGTCGCGCCGCTGCGTGGAGGTGCGCCTACGCAGACGTCCGCGAGGGATGGGGGGAGCTTTTGCTCGTGACTGCACAATCACGTCTCTGCCTTAGCAGGGGGGATCTCTTTGCAATCGGTGGTATCCTGTTTGCGTGCACGGCAACTTTACGGGTCTCGCTCTGTTCTCGACTGCGGCGTGCCCGCGCTCTCGGTGACGTGCACCACGCTTCGCTTTCGAGGGTGGGTCTGCTAAATTGGTTCGCTAACTGTGACACTCCGGTCGGATTCCTGTTGTCCGTGTGAACGCCGAAACCGGAGAGGGTGTCCCGCTGGTCCCACACATTCCTCACTGAGGGCCTCTCCCTCTGAATACCCCTTCAAAGACGACATCATCCAAGACCCACCGGTCGGCTGCACGTGGTTCCCAGCGGAGCAGCAGTCGGAGCAGCGGCACCGGAGTCACGTCCCGGAAGGCCTCCAGAACATGGTCCACAAACTCCAGAAAGAGCGGGTGGTCCACGTCCGTTGGAAGCGTCCGCTGCGCGTCCCAGGCCAGCACCTCGAAGCCATTTTCCAGACCCTGCATACGCGGTGCCACCGCGGGGAGTCATTTTGGAGTCAACATCGCTGTGGCACGTGTAATTCCCAAGTGTTCAACGTGGATTTCACACATTTTTCTATCAAACCCAACAAAAGAAGCACAAGCTTGTTCAGATCTTTGTGCCAATCTCAGGTATCTGGTATTTATTTTTGATTAGTAGATAAATGCTTAAGGGGGGACACTGGCTAGAAGTCAAACTTTTGAAGTATTCAAGTGATCGGAACGAAATTTGCAGGGGAGATTTAGCTTCAGATGTAGGTGTACTGAGCAAACTTTCAGCTCTCTAGGACAAATTTACATACCTGCATAAGATGATGTGTCACTTTTCATAAAGAAATCTATGATATGCAAATGAAGCTATTAAGCATCATTTTGACTGCTTGAATATAAAGTGGGGGATAAGAAACCTTGCGCTATCTAGTTTTAATAACTTAAATGTAAATATTTCAGGAAGAGTTATTACCTCAAACTATGAGATACATATCTGTCCTATGTCAATTTTTGAAAACTTAGTTTTTTGTCACTGAGGACTTCAACTTAAAACAAAATAAAGTAGATAGCCTGATTGCTCAGTAAATTTTAGTTCGGAAATATCTTGATTGTGGTATCAGGATACTTTCACCTTCAAACAAAAGATTCCTTCGTATGAAATTTGCAGCGAAAAGCGGAACTGAGAAAAATGCATTCAACCATTGAACTCCTTTACTTTGTTAGTGCCTCACAATGTGTTGAAAATATTTTATATCAACGCAACTATTTTGCGTATGGTTATCAAATTTGGTGTAAGGGTGTATAATTAGTTTCTAAAACTGAAAACCTCAAAATTAAAAAAAAATGAATTTTTTAAAACAATGTTAATATTTAGGCCCATGTCCCCACTTAAAAAAATTGTATTTACCACATTTGCACGATTGTAAGCCAACTTGATTGTAAATCAAACCCTCCTTGCATGTCAAAAAAAAAAATCTGTAGAGGCATGTTTTATTGCGAACACGTGAGGACGGCAGGGCGTGCTCGATGCCTTCTGGCAAGCTTTGGCTGCACATGCATGCGCGAGGCGCCCGAGATTCCCGAGCGTTATCAAAGCAAGGAATCTCGCACTGGAGGTGGGACAACCGAACCTGCTCCCTGCCGTTCTCACACTGCCTAGGACTAGAGAATGCGATTCGTCCGCAATGGTGCTGTCGTTCCCGTCGTCATCACTGCCACGTTCTCAAAGCACATCGTCGGTGTCGTCCAACGAAATATGGCACTTTGCAAACAACAGCATCAACCGCATCTTCCGCGCTTGCTCAGTGATCGCGTCGCACATCATGTGTAGGAACCGATTGTGCGCTTCTGCGGCGTACGGCCAAGTCTGACCCCCAACTACAAAAGGCATCCAGACCTATCCAGACTTTGGCCAGTGGAAGCATCTCCATTTGCCATCGCCCTGACGGGTCGAATTTGCATCCAGCAATGCAGTGTTGGTTGCTTTTGGATGAAGAATGGCCATTAATGAGCACCGAAAACCTAAACTGCCCGGATCACGTGCGTCAATACGGAGAAAAGTACTTGGCACTCCAGCATGATCTCGACACTCGATCAAACCACATGCGACCGTGAATCGTGCGAAAAGGAACGGCGGGGAGTGAGGCAGTGTGCTGTTCCAGTGGCCATTCCAGAGTGGCTCTTACATTAAGTACCGCCACCTCTGGGAGTCGGACGCGCTGTGTGCTGTCCTCTGCCGTACATTCGGGATTATTTGCATATCGCTATCAATAGTGTTCGTTCGCACAGATTTAAAGATTATAGTAATAAACACTGGTAAAATGAGCGCACAGAATGTATGACAATGCTATAGATACAGCCGGCTAAGCTCATAACAAGCCAAAGTGCTCTGGAAATCACGATTGTTCCGTTTTTGTCGGCGGTGGAATGCTTTGGTCCAATTATAAGTCGATTTTCCCACTTCCGATTTTCAAAAATTTAAGACTGGGTCGACCTAGATTCCTGTAAATACAGCCTTTTTATTCCAAAAACAATAATGAAAAAACAAAAAATTTGTTTTATATATGGCTAGATACTACAAATTATGAAGAATACAATGTTGGAAGTACTTTTTAGATTGACTAATTATCAGTGATGTTACAGCATGTTGAAGTCCAGTGTTCAATGTGTAGCTACCAAGCAATAGTTCAGTTGAAGATTTTCTTAGACCTACTTACTATATTGAAAGAACTGCTTCCAACATTGTACGCTTAATACATCTAGCTATGTGTTGCCGAAAAATTTATATTTCTCTCTGCCTTAGACACTGAGATGGCCCTCCTGAAAATTTGCAGAGTCCAAAATTTGCGTTTCTGAGGAAGTGTTGTTTTAGCACCACCTTCGGCGCAATTTCAGCACACATAGATATTAAAAAGTGATATTATGGCTCAAACATTTATCTTGAAAATAAGACACTTGGCAAATCGTAATAAAGAATAGCGGTAGATTTCAAAAATCGCCACTTCCCAGCAAACAGGTTTTTAGGAATTTTTTTGGCTATCCCTTAAACTGGGTTCCCAAGGGTTTTCCGGAGCATGCTCTGGGATTCCATGACGTCCCGAAATTCCTCCGCCGTCCCGGCCCCCGAGAAATTTTCCAGCTCGAGCACTGTTTCAGAAAGTTTGAGCCATTCACTGCCATGCAACCATGCGCCAAACGCTCCCTCGTATGTACACGCATCGTTGCTCGCGAGGTCCGTAGGCTTCCGCGTAATTCGGAAAAAAAAAGAACCGGTTTTGTGCGTCACACATGGCGAATCGTGCTTGTAATTTGCTCGCCGCCGGTTCTCTCTAGATCGAATTAACTGATATTTATATTTCAAGATCAAAATATAGATGCACAAGGTCGAATTAAACAATAAGTCAAGTTGACGCAGGTGAACGTACCCTGCATGGTCAGCGACAGGTTAAAATTGCAGAGGAAGCTCCACCACCAGCGCGAGTTTTCTACTCTTGGTAACACTTCCGCGTAGTAGCCAGAGCCAGGCGGAAAACAACAAGCGCAGGCCGGAGGGAACATGTCACCAACTGTAGAGGGTTCCCCAAGCGCCTAAATCCTCCTGACCGTCCCTACCACACGAGAAGTGCTTTCCCAATTACAGCAGTGTCTTAGCGTGTCTCAGCCGTGCATGGCTGCACAGGTATGGGCTGAACACACCCTAGTGTGTGCATTACTGCTAACGTAGTCTGTAGGTCTCTTTACTGCCTATAAGTTAGGAATGCTTGAGCCTTCAAAGGTCCCTTGGCTGTCATTAAGGGCAAATAGCTGCTCCTCAATATCAGTAAGTTTGAGGAACCCCTCGTTTACACAGTCAGGACGAATGCTCATCCTACATGACTGGATCGGCACTCCTCCCGTCCGCATTTTTTTCGCTTGTCCCACGTTTTCGTTTGTGGGCCGTGCGGCTCTTCCGTAAGGAACAACCTCTTTTGGCACTGAAGCCAGCGCAGGGGCACCTCGTGGTGCAGTGTGGCATCGCAGACGAATGGGCTGGAAGAGTCCTTCGAGCTTCTTTGGCATACCTGCCGGTTTTTGAGAGCTGCGATATGAACTAGCGATGAAATGCAAAGTTGAGGTCTTACACTTTGGACTATCCGACAAATTGAGATGATCGAGCCCGTGGGGACCAAATACGCACAAAAAGGCCGGACGGGGTGTTGCAGCCCATCCAACCTTTTCTTTGGGTACAGATAAGAAACGTTTGTTGAACTACTGAGTTCCGACCGAGACCGAAACTAGTTGGCCAAAAGACAATGCGCGCTGCGGGACAGATTTAGAGCCTTGGCACATTTTTACGGCTAACACAAACGGGTCTCGGAGTTCTGCAGACGGAGCTTCCGCTCTACGCGCTCCAAGCCGCAGTGCGCCAACACATTCCGCAAACTTTGTCTCAGACAGGAAAGAAACTCCGACCTGGTCCTTGAGGGAGCTCCGGCCCGCCGAGGGAAGACTCTCCACCACCTTGGACTTGAGCTCGTTGTACGACACTTCCCGCGGCACCCAGACTGCCCGCGTGGCACCGAGGCTGGAACGAACGGCAGAGAAAACCGTTGGACGTCTTCGGAATGCAGGCCCGCCACTTTGCACACATTGATCCCACATATTCATTGGCCTTGTCCAACTCTGCATAAAAAAACTACCTGGGCCGCTCCTTTCGCCTATCGCCCCCACATCGTGGATGCCGAATGCATTGGTGAGACATGCGCAGATCTGGGCAGTGACGCAGCATGATGTCACATTGTCACGCGACATGGCTCACGGTGTGAAGCCATAGTGTCACATGACGCAACAGTGCCGACGCTGCGAGCACACCCAGTGACGTCGGACGTCGAGCCGTGGAGCAGCGGAATGTCCCGTGAAAACGTTGCACGATACCTCAACTTTTCACCGCGGGTCAAGCTGCACCACAAATTAACACCATGATGTGACTTGGTCTGACGCACATCACACGGTTACGGTAAGTGACTCTAGTGCACCAGACACATGACGATGTAAACAAATAGTAGTGTCGCGCTAACTTTAGCAGGACGTTAGCCCAGTGATTCATACACACCCAACAACAACCCCCCAGGCTGTATCTCCCCGCCGAGACTGGCAATCCTGGACAAAGCCTCGTATTAACCCACTAAATTTAGCTGATGACGGCACTTTATGGTGATGGTAATGGCTACAGCTCTGCATCAGTTCCACTAATCCCTCCTTTCCTCCTGTTAAAATGCACCTTGAACTAAAGGGCTATCAAAATAAAAATTTAAATATACGTTTCACGTCCAGAAAGGAATTAAACACAATCAACGATATTTGCTGATGACGACCGCACGTTTGTATTTTGAACCGATGGCTAGATTTTTCGCTCCCAACAGCCAATTCCACGAGCACTCGAAGAGCAGCCGTCGGAAAGCGCGATGCGTCCCGGGAGATCTGGCGCCCCCCAGTGCGTTCGTGACATTAGGTTTTGCAACACAGGCAAGGCCACAGGGGGCTAGCGTAGCTGCGAGTTTCGCCACATAGTGGCACCAACGCATTACAACCTGGCCTTTTGGAATGCCCGTGGGAGAGAAGGGAAATCCGGTTCGACCAAGTTAGGACGGGGCCCGCGCATGCGCAGCTTTCCGCCGTGTTTCTGCGGAGTGGCGCTGATTCCGTGGGTAGCACAACGTAACGGCATTTGGTTCATTCACTTTAATTAATGTTTCGGTGTTTTTCTCGGGCAAAAAATTGGCGTCTCTGTGGTGTGGCCATAACACACTTGACATTTAGCAAATAGGCGCTAGAGTTTTGTTGCAGTACTCTTTTAAAACCAAAGATTGCGTTTTTGTGGGGCATAAGAGCTATTAATAATGAATTCTATTGGTCCCTTCGGAGCACTTTAGCGGGAGGCAACCCGCCCTCCAGAAACGTGTGGGAATGTCACGGACTAGAGCCACTCAAAAAGCTACGCTTAGAGCAGCGGCGCTCCATTCCCCAACTCTCTTGGGGGCATCGGCATTTCGGTGCTCAGTGCAGGGCGGGCGCAATCGGCGATCGTTACGATTATGATGCGCAACTTCCCAAACGTTAGACATGGTGCCAGGGCGATACCGTTTTGCTCTGTCACGGAATGATTTGACATTCCTCGAGGACTGAAAGCTTCTTCCCGTGATTTCAGGTAAATGCTCCAGATGACTGGCAGCCACGATTTTCAGCATCAAGATGGCCGAGGTGTCACTTTGAGGTGTAACTCACTTACTGGCTGTAGTTTGCTTTGTTTCGTATGGCACTAACACTAACAAAGATGTATCAATCATCGCCTGATATCATAGAAGAAATATCGGCTCGACGTTTTATTGCCGTGGTCATTCCTAAAACCCGCATCACTCTGCGACTATGTGCAACGGTAGTTACAATGTCTCAGAAACTCGGGATGCCTTCTTCGGTCTTGTAATGCACCTGCACGTAGGTAGCCTGGACCAGGGGTTCTCAAGACGGGTTCCTAGGAACCCGGGGGAGGTCCCCCAGGGCACCCCTTCAAGGGTTTTCCCCGGCTCCCCAATTTCCTCAACCGTTTCTCCCCTAAACAGAGGGATTTTTCAGTTTAGAGGCCGACAAACAGCCAGAAAGGAGGGGGCTCTCCCTGGATCCCTCCTTTCCATTTGAGAAGGAGGGAGACTCTCCTCCTCCTCCCTGCGGGAAGTAGCTCAGAGACCCGCTCCAGTGAGAAGAGGAGAGTGCAAGAGGGAATGGAAAGAAGGAAACTGGGAACCGGTTTTCTGCCTGGCCGAAGACGACTCTGTAAGTCCGCTTTTAAGCACTAGCTTACCAGATCTGAGTCACTCACTGATGCACAGCTATGACCCAGATACTCGAGCATGTGCATCATTGTTCAGAAGGACTGCTCGCTTCTCAACTGCTTCATTAAATCAATACCAAGACAGGGAGGTGTCCCTTGGCTATCAATAGCTGTTCCTCAAGATTATCCCATGACGAAAACGGGCTTCGTGTGATTTCCGACAAAAGCCTTAGATGACTGGCAACCCTGACTTCAGGCACCAAGATGGACAAAGTGCCATTACTCTGAAATGTAGCTTTCTTAGTGGCGCTCTTGCAAACGAGTTCCTCAGCGATGCCAAAGATGGTGACTCACCAGGGTCCAGAGGAGCCCAGCCGGGACCGACAGAGTAGCAGAAGCAGGGCGTCTTTGGGGGTTGTGGCCGTGACCTTGGCCGACGGAAGCTCCAAGGCCACCAGCCGAGCACCCGGCGGAACCCCGCTCGCGGGCTCATCCCCCGAGAACAGGTTTCCGTACCCTTCCTTCGTCTCTTCCAGCAGCAGGAGCTGCGTAACGGGAAAAACGAGAGCTTCAACATGGAACGTGTTTTGGGGCTGGCTCCTTAAAGAAACACTGAACATAGCAAAAAAGAAATTACAGGAGGACATTCAAGACTGTTTACGTGTATGAAGACGAAAGCATTGTAATCTCGCGGGAGCAATGTTTTTGAGTAATGTTTCTACACGTATTAAAGTTTAGGACGACATATTCGCGACTCCAGCGACCTATAGGGGGCGCCACCACCAAACAAACATGGCGGCTGAGTCCAGGTCGCGGCGGCTCGGCCGGGCCGCCTGAACAGGTGGCGCGTTCAATTTAACAGATTTTCTTTTGTTTAATGCCCAATTTTATAGGTATTTGAACTGAGACGGTTAAGTGTAGCCGGTGCAGATAAACTTGCAAAGCATAGTTTTGTTTTGCCGGTGTTTTTTTGTTCTTTTCGTGTCAAACTTTCGTTTCGGAGATTTCGTTCAAAACCGAAACTATGGGCTCCGGAGAGACGGTAACATACTAATCAGTTTTGATCGTCTAAGGAAAGCGGCGATGACTATAGAATTGTTCCACAGAGAGTAACTTTTCAGCTAACTCGCATGCCTCGACCATGCGACTTATCTGTCCACGAAATCGAGCTTTTGTGCGTATCCGCGTTTACGAAACAGCTCCAGTCGTCTGCTCGGCCAACAACACAGGCTGCAGGAAAATTACGAATATTAAGCAACCGCTTCTTGAGCCAAGGACCCTGTTAACCCGCCGGCGACCCACTAAGCAGCTGATACTCGTATTTCAATTCAGGTTTTAGTAGCAATCGAGAAGTCATTTTGACGAGCAGGTTATGTATTATATTACGTACTATGGGGGGGGGGGGGGGGTCCCACTAAAGCGATATTAGTATATCCTTCGGGTTGAAATATGAGCTCAGTTGACTAGCTATTAGGTGAGCTGCTGAATAAAAGTATATTTGACAGACGGAGACATACTACTTAAACTTAGCCAAATGGTTCTATAGCCGGCAGCACGGAGACAAACTGAAAAGGGTCTTCATTGAAGATCCACGCAGAACCTCTCTGCATTGAACTTTGCTTCGAATCCTGAACGGAGAAAATTAGTACTTTTTTGTGTCCGGTCAACCTGACCAATGTAGACGTATATTACTGCTGGCCTCGACGTCCTCGTAATATAAATATTGGAGGCGTGATAGGTCAAAATGCCGTGACAGCATCTAACATTGCGAGACTTGTCTTCCACCTTTTAAAAACATAATTTCCCTCATTCATCATTTGCACCGAGCAGGTTTTCCTGAATCAAGTAATTGCGAAATCAGCCCAACTCCTTCAGTGTGGTCCAGAGGCTTTTTCGACGAAAAGCAGCCAAGATGAATAGCCAACGCACCGACCGGCGTGGGTGGCTCAAACTTGAAGCTAACCGAACACAACCAAACTCAAGAAAAGCAGCATTCGAACCTTCCCATTCACTTGACTGCAACATTGATGTTCCCTCCAGTATCAGTTACCAAGCAGTCGTAACTTTGAATGCGATTCGAGACAGACAAGAAATCAAAAAGTTTTCCCGTGATTCCTCCCCATCCAAGAAATCGAAAGCACGTGACCGTGTGCTGTGGAGTAAACGGGCTTTCAAACACGTAATAGAAGAAAACAATCTACTGAGGCTTCACCACACTAATGATCACTCAGGCAAACTTAAGAAATATTCGGACCTTCGTCAAATTACATCGTTCGCCACCGCGCCGACAACACGTCTCCGCGAAAGCCACCAGAGACGCGGAGGGGTGCGGAGCGACCTGGACCGGCTGGTTCCCGGTTTTCCCGCTTGGCGGCGTCCGTTTTGCTGGAGTCGCGAATAGGACTACGTCCAGGATGACGTCCTAGAGATCCACGCCAAGTACGGCATCTAAAACGACGTCTAGGACGACATCAAGGACGACGCCAAAAGCAATCTCTTGGACGACCTCAAGCACAAGGTCGAGGACGATGTCAGGAACGGCGTCTAGGACGACGTTGAGGACGACATCCTATAGGACGACGTCAAGAACGACGTCTGGGACGACCTTAAGGACAACGTCAAGAATGATGCCTAGACAACGTCTAGGACGACGTTGAGATGGACGCCTAGAGAAGGATTCTTAGGAGGCTGTGACCTATTTGCGTGGGCGGCCACGTTTACCTGCAGAAGCTGCCGTAGATGCAGACACTGCTGCCGATGTCAAGGCCGTAGATGTAGATGCGGTCGCCTCACAGTCCATTGCACGAAGCATACAACGAGCATAGAGGAAGTCCGAAGCGCACCTTTTGTGCACAAAGCTCCAACGGTGACATTACGCTTCTGCACTTGAGCGCGAGCGTGAGCGGCGCTTGCTTGATGACGTATTTGTATGGCCATCTTTTAGGCACAACGACACCGCCTTTTTGCGTAATAGGACAAGTAAGGTCACCCTAGAGGTCTAGGATGACGTCTAGGACGATCTCAAAGGTGACGCCAAGAACAGCGTCGTCCCTAAACATACGATTGAGCAGCGTTAGCCGCTCAATCGCATGTTCAGTCCGCTTTTTATTCAATAAGACAAGCAAGGCTTTTGCCTTAAAAATTATTTTTTTCCCACCTGGTTAGGACAAGGATGTCTCAAAACGAATCTTCGTCGAAGAAACAAAATTCTTTTGTCCAATATTTAGACTACAATACAGATTTTTCAACTGGCGGGTGAAACCAAAACTGTAGCCCTGTGGGACGATGATAATGTTTGTACCCAGCTAGTGTGCGCTCTAATGTCCAGCAAACTCTGAGCGCAAACAAGTTGGGTACAAACGCTATCATCATTGTCCCACAGGGGTACAGTTTCGGTTTTGCACGCAGATCGAAAAATTCATATTGTAGCACAAATATTGGGACAAATTTTTTTTTTTATGAACATTGGACTTCGTAATTTTTTTGTCATTAGGAAGAAAAAAAAAAAAAACTTTTTTCCCCTAGGTTTACTGTTTTTTTAACTCCTTCCACACAAACCGGACAGAACTGTAGATGCCATGTGATCGTAGGACAGGTCGTACGTTCAACTTTCGCAACGTGATCGGGTCCTTGCCCGAACCCGTAGGCAAAGGACGGGATCGGCAGTGGAGTCGGAACAGAAAGCGTAAGGGGAGGGGAGGAAATGCGGGGCTGTGTTTTTGCGGCGCGGCGCTGTGGGCAATGTCGAAATGCAACACCCTTTTCACGCTTCTTCTGCGGAGGCCGTATTCCGCTGATTAAATCGAGACATACCTCGATCCCTCGCTCAGTCCTCAAACGTAGCGGAGCGAGCCCACCTTGCTTCTTTGTCCCTAGCCAAACGCTCTTCCCTTTTTTCCGGCGTCTCAGTGGCACAACGAACGCGCCGAGCCTGTGTGGGATGCCACCTCCGTTTGGCGATGTCTCCTTCAGTCATCTCTCTTCTCTAGTCAGACATTGAGAAGATCGCCACCGCACTTCCAGCGAGCGTATAATTTCTACCATAGACCCCTTTTGAAAGTGTGCCTTCTGTTGGAAGCCACGGAGCCTCTGCACAATAGCAGGCGCAAGCGGCAGCGCCTTGCGTTCGATCGAGGCTCGGCCACCCACCTCCGGGCAGCGGGAGCAAGTCGCAGCTACTCGCCCGCGCCACTTGCACGATCTAGGCTGCCAACTGGCACAAGAAATGTTATCACATTCAATTAACCTTGCCTCATGAGCCTCCCCTTGATACTGTGGTTGACTGTTGTGCTCACAATCTTGGGGTCATAAGTTCGATCACCCCTGGGGGTGCTCTTCTTTCTACCAAACTTATTCGCTCATCACTCCATGCCTGCGCATTCGTTTCATGTTACAGGAAGCAATTCTGCCCAGGGCAGAGGGGGGAGGGTTCGAAAGAATCGCGATTATACTTTAAGGGAAAGATGGGAGAATGAAATGTAGAGAGGTTAGCCTGGATGTTTGTGTCAGGCTCCCACTCTGTGTCCGCACCAAGGGCAGTAGACTTGCCTGGTCTGCTGGAACGTGACACTCGGATGCAACTCTCTGTCGGACCTGTTCCATCGTGGCACTGCAGTCCAGGTGGAAGCCCAGCTTCACCTGTGACCCGACGTCAGAAACCACAGTTCAAAGGTCAAGTTCTGTGTTGATTCGGTTCAAACAAAGCTTGGGATTCTACTTTAAAAGGGCAGTGCAACGGTTTTAATGTTGAAAGAATTGCCAGTTTGCATTTTTTATATTGTTCATACAAACCCAAGTGACCAAAAATGCGTCACCTTTCCCCAAAAAATGGCTATTCTGCTGCGTAATCGCTAAGCAAAAACCGAATTATTTTTCGATCTGCAGCCGCCGGTGGCGGCTACGGGAACTAAAATGACGGCGTCTCTGGGAGGTACGCGGAAGTCAACAAACCTGGTCCCCCTTCGCTGCTACGCTCGCCTTCAGCCTCGTGGCGAACCGTCCTTTGTGTTCATCGCTCGCCACGACCTTCGACGAGGCTAATCCTTTGAAAGTCGACAATCGCGGAGGAAGCGGCTGGGTCCTCTGAAGAGAGGGCCCAAGGGGAAACCTCGTGAACCCCCAGAGACGTCACTCAAAATTCGGCGTGGAAAGTTAAAAGGCACTTCAACCTTCGATTTTTTTTTTTTTTTTTTTTAATTAAAAACTAGCGCTTGCAAGAAAATGTGGCTTTCGGTTTTTCGTTCCATAGGTGACGCAGATTAATTTCCGCAGTTAATTGGCCAAAGTCTGAAAATCGTTCCACTGCCCCTTTAAACAAGCTAGGAGACTTTTAAACGAGAAAAATAGACTTTTCTATAGCACGAGTGTAACCCAGCATGCTTTTTAGGAAACAAATACGCCTAAGAACCCAATGAAAGCCTTGGGTTCTAGTTTTAAGGGGAATTTCCATAAAAAAAGATAAATGAAATGTACACCAGTGTGTGCCACGCGAAATCGACACGGCTGCTAACGACGTCATTTTTGTCTCTCTTGACAAGGCTACTTAACGAAACATGAATCTGTGGATATCCGATCATATCTTATTACAAAATGGGATACTTATAACTAGTTTCACCAATGCCGGAGCCACGGTGGGAGATCTCAGATCGACCGCCTAAATCAATAGGGGGAAGGTCAGAGAATTGCCGAGATGCCCGACTTTTACTCTTTCCAGACCGAACCCATACAGCGCCAATCACGCGTGATCGCTGGGAACAAAGGCCCATTCAAAAACTTCCACAAAGCTCCCGCACTCACTGTGCCTTCTCACGAGTAGTTTGAAGGCAACAGTTTTGGTTCCTATGTTTGACTTTTCCCTTTTAAGCTAAGTGTGAAACCGATGCAAGTCGTCGTTGTGGGCACCCGTGGCTGCTTCCATGGGTCCGGCATGCGTGGCAATTCGCGACAATCCTTCGTCTATATTTCGGACTCATTCGGTTCTGATGACCTGTGCTTCACCACATTGAGAAAGTGCTTAGCCTAATGGCATGTCAGTCATAAAAATTAACTTGATTTTAGGTAGCTAAACATTCTTTTTAGGTAAAATACTAGTTTTTGCAAGGCTTTTTGTTGTAAGAATAAAAACACATTTCATATATTTAAGTTTCTTGCAACATCTTCTTTTTGGATACTACCATATCTTAGTTGGTATGAACCAATTTTTAGAAAAAAAATGTCCCTAGAAGAATTACTAGATTTTGCATCAACATTCAAGTCTCTGCTTTGATGTTTTCACCATTCAAAACCCATTTATTTAGCTTCATTTCTATGAACGGCCTCATATTTTATATCTAACAGTTCCCTCAATAAAAAGAACTAACAAAAAATCACCGAAAATAGGCACTTTTCCCATGGTCAGGAAAGAGTCAAATGCTGATGCTGAGCATCCTAAGTAGGACGCCAGAGAAACGCCCAACTCGGAAATCCTAGGGGCTTAACATGAGCCTAATACGGTTTAGCTCCAGGGCGCTAGCTGGTGCCAGGGTACTTTCCTTTGGTGTTTCTACAGCTTTTCTTGGGCTCGCCGCATAAATGCCAAAGAGCCAGACTCGAGACAACAATGCCACATATGAACCGAAGAGCCAGAAGCAAAGCCTAACTCTGGCATTTGTTTGGCGATTTAGGCCCAAAGATGCCAGATGACAACCAAACTACAAGCAGTGAAGTCTAGCCTTGGCACTCGTTTGACGAATTAGGGTCAAGGTACCCAGACTCTAAGAAAAGAAGGTCAAGTTTGGCACTACCTTGGCTTCTTCGAGCTTTTCAAAAGGGTAGTGCAATGATTTTAACGCTGAAAGAATTTGCAGTTTGTATTTTGATATATTGTTTATCTAGGCAGAAGTGAAAGAAAACACAACATCTCTCCCAGAAAAACTGCTATTCCGCTGCGCAATCACACACAAAAAAATTTATTTGTTGGTTTGCAGTTACGTGTGGTGGTTACGAGGACTACAACGGCACGACACCGGTGTCCACGAGGAACTCAACAAAGCCTGTCTGTCTCTGCTGCTAGACTCGCCGGCAACCCTGTGGAGAACTGTCTTTCGAGCAGACCGCTCGCAGCAACCTTCGGCGATACTAATCCTTGAAAAGCCAACAAGTGCGGTGGGAGCGGCTGGAGTCTCTGATGAGAGAACCCAATGGGAAAGGAGTTGTTCCCCCAACCAGAGACGTCACTCGAAAAACGGTGCGAGAGTTGAGGGGCACTTTGACCTTCGATTCGTTTAATTTTTAACAATAAAAACTAGCGTGCGCAGGAAAACATGGTTTTCTGCTCTTCGTTTTATGGGTGTCACAGATTAATTCCCGCAGTTGATCGTTCAAAGTCCAAAGATCATTGCACCGCCCCTTTTAAAGCCCCGAATTCTCGGGCAGAAGCAAATTTCGGCCCAAAGGACTGCGCCACCTGTGGGACAGAGCTCTGCCGGCGAACGGGCAACGACTCACGGGTGGCGCGTTGCGCGGGACGAAGCTGAGCCGGCAGAGCCACTGCTGGGGCACCGGGATGGGCAGGGACAGGCAGAGGAAAGGGTCGAAGGTGATGCTCTGGCGGCCGCAGCGAGGGCACGTCAGTCGCAGCCGCAGCTGGCCCCCGAACAGGGACGCCACCCGGCTGCCCTGCCAGCGGCTCGCTGGGGGCGCAGGGTGCGGGCTCCTAGGCTGCCACTCGCCGGGCAGGGATGACGGAACGGAGCCCCGGGCATTGCGGGAGGAGCCGAAACGCTCAGCGGCAGCCTGGAAGAGACGTACGTCCATTCGTTGAACCTAGTTTGTAATTACATTTATTCGATAGTAACTAATTATATCGTTTAAGCAGTTTTCTACTTATGTCAATGTGATGGTGGATCAATCTATCGGCGAGGGCAGAAGAGAGGAATCTCGCGCATTAGCCCCTTTGAAGGTTGCCGCAGTACATGTATGGTGACAATTACGCGTTTGAAAGTACACGCCTGAATGCGAAACCGCGCGCACCGTGGGGAGAGTTACTACTTGTTTTGCTTATTGGCGAACTATAAATGTTCTGTTACATTAGTAAGGTGTTTTGCTTTTCTAAGGCTATTTATAGCTTTGAAATTGGAGTATGGTGTTTTGCTTTTCTGGGGCTATTTATAGTTTTGAAATTGGAGTATGGTGTTTCGCTTTTCTGGGGCTATTTATAGTTTTGTAATTGGACGCTCCGTGTGGATGACATGTGCAAAATGGTGGTTTCGCATGTCGGCTGTTCTAAGGGTGATGGCAATTGGAGCGCTGCCTATTTGGATCCAGGCTTCTAACGCCTCTCAGAATTGAATTCAAAGGTTTAGAGCTCCCCATCGGACTGAGAAGCTTTGTAAAGTACCTCAGGTTCGGGATACGAGACTGCTGGAACGTGGCGCAAGCAAACATGCCAAAATGAAACAGAATGGAAGAAAGGAGACAGCTTTTTGCCTTCAATATTTTCTTTTCATGTTTCTAAACCAGAACAGCTTGCAAGAACTCTACGTGCCCTTGTCAGATAATTAGGAAAAAAAGCTCTGCACTGACCTTTTCTTTATACTATTCATTTGGAAATAAACCCCGACCCATGGGAAACATTTTCTGGGAAAAAAACTGAAACACTCTGCGGCAACTCTGAAGGAAAATACAGCAATTCGTTGAACCTTAGTAACTTTATTTGATATTAACTAATTAATGAATCAATTCGTTTTTCTACTTAAGTCAATGCACAGGGCAATTAAGCTATCACTAAGGGAGGGACGGTCGATCGAGCCTCACGCACGAGGATACCAGGAACGAAACGCTGTGCGGAGCCCTGCAGGGAACGCACCTTAATTTGTTGAACCTAATTTGTTCTTAGATTCGAAAAGCACCAAAAAACAAGGACAACAAACAGGAAGAATTGGACGAAACGGTGGGCTACTGTCAATTGAATTTTTATTTGGAAAAGACAGACATATATAAACTCCCAAGCGAACCATTCGCTCACAATCAAACTTCTTGCGAGATGAATTCAAATTGCTTATCTGATAAAAGGATTGAAGATGCGCTGATGCTTGCTTCATTGCCCTTCAACCTGATTTTAAAAGCCTTGAAGATTTCTCTTTCTGTTTATGTTTTTTCTGTTTTTATTTCATAAAATCCTAAAATCGGCGTGTCATCGAACACAGGAGAACATGGGCACCTGTCACAATGAACGGCCAAGTTTCCCAAAGGTCCATGCTCCCTGGCCCTCTCATTTACCCGAAGGTGACCTTTCCGTAAAGCGGTCACCTTCGGGACACTTGGCCGTTTGTTGCGACAAATGCCCATTTTCTGCTGTACTCGATGACACACCGACCTTGAGACTATAAAACAAAAACAAAAATAAATTTTTGAGGCTTTTAAAGTCAGAGTGAAGGGCGATAAACCACGCAATCAGCGCATCGTCAATACTTTGATCAAATACGGAATTTGAATTCATCAGAAGTTTGATTGGGAGCGAATTGTTTGCTTGGGGGTGTATACATGTTTGTCTTTCCCAATAAAATTCAGTTGACAATAGTGCACCGTTTAGTCCAATTCTTCCTGTTTTTTGGTGCTCTTTGAATCTAACTACAAATTCTAATTTATTCATCATTTAGTCTGATATTTTTAATTTATCCAACTAATTAGTCTCTTCGTTATGTCAATACAGTGATTGATAGATCTATCGATAAGATCAGAATAACAGATCCTCACGCATCAGGGCACCGGGAACTGACACACTCTGCGGCACCCCAGGGGGAACGTAAGTTAATTTGTTGAACCTAATTTTTAATTTAATCTGTTTGATAGTGACTATTTAATTGTTCTAAGGCCAACGTACAACCTCGGTCTTCTGCAGGGAAGATAATTCTGTCAACAACCCCCTCTCCTAAACTGCAAGGAGAGTTCTGTTGGGGCAAGCTGAAAAGTGGAGAAGACACGGGAAAGGAGGAAGTGAGGAAAAGTGGAAGGTGCAAAGTGTACTTCAGCCTTTAAAGGCCAACTTACAGAATCGCCTTCCGCTGGGAAGAAGACTGGCCCCCAGTTTCCTCCTCTTCATTCCCTCTCGCGCTCTTCTCCCCTCTTATCCCCACAGGAGCACGTCTCTGAGCTACTCCCCACAGAAAGGATAAAGATCTCACTCTTTCTCGATTGGAAAGAAATGGAGGGAGAGTTTCCTTCTTTCTGGCTGCTCGTCAGCTTTTGAGTAGTTTTCTACTCATGTCAATGCACTCGTCAATTAATCCATCAGCAAGGGCAAAAAAGAGAAATTTCGTGCATGAGGCAACCAGGAACTAAAACATTCTGCAGCTCTCTGGAGGAAATATACACCAATTCGTTGAACCTTAATGATTTTACTTGATATTAACTAGTTGAATTAACTCGTTAACTCATTGGGTTAGTATTCAACTCATGTCAATTCACTGGTCAGTTAAGCTATCGCTAAAGGCAGAAGGGAGCACTAGGAATTAAAATGCTCTGCAGCACCCTAGAGGGAATATATGTCCATTCATTCAACCTAGTTTCTTCACCATCTAGTTTGATATTAATTCATTATTTAGTCTCCTGATTATACCAATGCGGTGATTGATAAATCTATCAATCAGGGCAGCAGAGAGGATCCTATAACATAAATGCACCGGAAACTGAAACACTCTACTGCACTCTGGAGGGAACATATGCAGATTCCTCAAACCCTATAATAATTTTACCTCATACTAACTCATTAACTATTTCATTAGTTTTCTACTTATGATGATGCACTGGAAAATTAATCAATCAATTAAGGCAAAAAGAGGAGAATTATGCATGAGGAAACCAGGAGGGAACACTCATTAATTTGTTTAACCTACCGTAAAATACCGAGGAAGTGCCCACACCCGCACAAGCGCCCACTATTAACATTTTCGAAATTCGAAAATTTGGGCAAGTACACATCAAGCGCCCTAGTAAGCGCCCATAGTTGGCTTTACGCGTATTTCGATAAAATGGGGGTGGGCGTTTCTTCGGTATTTTACGGTACATTATTCATTGAGTTCCCTGTTTTTGGATAAATCCGAAAAAAAAATTTAAAAAAAAAACACTCGCTGGTACAATTTTTGTTGTTTCGGATTTATTCGAAAAGCTCTGAACTTCAAGGAAACAACAACAACAACACAAAAACAAAAGCTTCTTTTTTCTTTTAAATAGGTTTTATAAGAGCACACGGTCAGTAGTCCCGAGGAGATGTCACTTTTGTTTTCTTTGAAATCTCGAACTACTGACAAAAAGGGTTGGCATTTTTGCATTTTAGGTCATCAAGGTTTCCTCAGGGCAAAGGGTTATCGTACCCGGACCTTATTTTTTGTTTTTGAATTCATATGGGAACACAGTAAAAAAAACTCTGAATTTCAAAGAACTGGGAATCAAACAAAAATAAAATTCGATAGACCCCGAATTTTCAGCGAAAAATGAACTCAGAAAGACACCCTCTGAATTTCAAGAGAAATAAACTCCGAAAACCTGAAATCCTAATTTTATTCACCATTCACTTTGATTCAAGTAATTAAATAGTTATTTTAATTGTGTCAATGCACTGGTCAATTAATCTATCAATAAGGGCAAAAAAAGCCACAGACACCAAGGTGCTATGCAGTTTGTAGTGCTCTGGAAGGAATGTTCAATAAACTTGTTGAACCTAATTTGTGTTTTTCAGTTTGATATTAATTAAGTATTCATCCTTCTGATCGATATGTTTATCAATAAGGGCAAAAGAAAGAAGCCCCACGCACAAAGAACTGAAACACTGTGGCGCCTAGAATGTTTATTTATTCATTCATTCATTCGATTTTCTTTATCAATCAAATCACAATAAATGAACAACTATAGTTTGCGACAGGTTAAGAGTTTAGAGGAAACTCCTCCTACCCCTTTTTACTTTAGCAGAGCAAATGCTGGAGGGGAGGTGGAGAGGAGGTCACGTCCTCTCTATCATTCATTCTGCTAAGGTGGAATGAGGTGGGGGGAACTTCCCCTGCCATCTATGCGGAGTGTAAGTTCGTCTGCCTCTTGTACAGCGGTAGTGATGATGTCGAAACGCTGAGTTCTTATTGGCTGGTTTCAAGAAATAGTGGGTAAACCTCAAGGCATGTAGCACTGAGGTCTCTTCACTATCCTTTCAATCAAAGCCAATCAGAGCTCGGCACAGTTCTGACGTCATCACAATTTCTGCGCAAGAAGCAGACGACTTGCTCTTTGCATAGTCTCCTATATTAATTATGTCAATCAACTTATCAATCAACAATTCTATTCGGGAGAAAGAAAGAATTCTCGGGTACAAAGAACTGCGACACATTCGGGCAGTTCGAAGCGAATAAGCATCCATTCATTCAATCCGACAGTACGTTGATACATTTTCAATTAATTCAGAACTTCATTAACTGAAGTGTACTAGAATTGTGTCTACCATCTTATAAATCAGTCAATAGGCATGGAAAATCAGCCTGAAGCCCAAAGAACCCAAAAACACTTTAAGACACTTGCCAAAGACCATTACCAAAAAAAAAGGACTGAAATCACCGTATTTTGTCGACTATAGTGCGCAGACTGTACATGTTTGAAAGTTGAAAATTTATGTGGTGCAGGCTATACAAGGATTTTTTATTAAAGATTGTTCATTATGACGAGGTGTGAGAAACTCTTGATTAAAAAAGTATGGGGGGGGGCACAAAAAAAAAATTTATTTTCTACGGAATTGTGGATTCGTTTTTGCA